CGTCCGTTCAAATGCAATTGGAAGTACTGCTGAGCAGAACGAATCATCTAAATCTTCAGTGCCCATAAAAATAGCAGACGGTCGTCCTAGGTAGTGACCACAAAGAAACATTCGAAAAACATCCAAGGGACCCAATCCTGAGAAACTTCCTGTGGGGAACATTAAAGAGATTTCAAGTGGACGCGGTACCCTGTTCCTCTGCATCACATCAACTGAAAAAATGTCACAACATTCTTGAAGGTTACATGATGTAATCTGGCACAAGGTGGTAAATATTGAGGGCTTGGAAAAAAATCTTTAAGTTCAGTACTCAGTAGTAGATATTTCACCAGAATTTATTATACCAGGTGGGAGTGGGGTAGACGACAGTGACCTACAAACCATAAACTTCTGGATCTTTTTTTTTTCCCGTGTAAGTGARTTATTTTCAGGTAGTTTAACATATCTCTGATTGTAATTACTACGCAGACCAGTATCACCCTGAACATTTGACCTGAGCAGCTCCATTTCTTTGTTTAAGAACAGATTTACTTGAGGCTGGTGCAATATGTGAAACGAGCTTGGCTCAACTGCTGGAAACAGAACGGAATATTAATTAATATATTTTTTAAAATTACTGTTGTGTCAGAATCTTAAACTGGGACATTTCTCTGTGTCAGGAAATGCTTCTTAAACATGCATCTTTAAAATAAAAAGGAGAAAGAAAGCAAAAGAAATCATTCTCCTTCAAATTGAAACCAGCATAAAATATTACCCCAAAAGACCAGGGCTGATTTCTTTATAAATGAACAGAATGTTAGAACCCTGGCAAAGGCAAATTGGCCTACAAGAAAACTGACAGCTTTATAGCCCATGCCTCTGATTGAAATGTTGGGAAATCTCTTGGCAATTCTCCCAGACATCCAGGTAGAACAGTGAGTTCACTGATTATGTTAACTAAAACAATCTGGCTTTGCACAAACGCACCTCAGGCCCAGCCAAGTGTGAAGGCTGATCAACGTGCCAGACCGAGAAAAAGACCTATTTACCTGAGGAGGGCGGCTAAATGATGGGGCTGTGCAAAACAACAGAGCAACGTCAACGTTCAAAGTTATTTTTTCTTTTGTTTTTAGCATATAGCTTAAGCAAAGGCAGCGAGCCCCTGGTAGGACCATGTGGGTGCTCAACGCAATTCCAACTGGTGTGTTTAAATGATGGTAGCAGTCATAAATAAGAACACGATTGTAATATGCATGGTATTAAAACATTTACAAATAGGGAGAAAAAATATTTATATTTGGAAGAAAGAGAGGTTCTCAGGTCAATACAGTGTTCTTTTATACTCCTCCTGGCGTGGCACCACATTTGGGGTGGCGTTTGGTGCTTGGAAAGGACAGATGCCTTGGAGCCCCCCCGATCCTCCCCTCCGGTGAGCGGGAAGAGAGAAAAGCAGCACGGGGTGACCCTGGATGAGGGCACAGGGGGTGAAGCAGCCCCACCGCCAGCCCCAGCAGGCTGCTGCGTGATGGGAACCGCAGAAAYCAACAGTTAACGCGAGCCGCGCCGGGACAAGGGGCATCACATTCAGGAGGGAACTGTTTATATCTTCCAAGGGGAAAAAATGAAAGCCATAATAAACCTAAACAATAAAGATTACAAAAAGAAACAATGCTGCTAAGTGGCAATCTTTTGAGGTGAATGCATAGCTGGATGTTATTTTAAACAGCACATAACCCAGGGAATTATGATGTTGTTTACACAGGCCTGTCTCTTGGAATCTGTATATGTTTAGAGTTTGGTTTGTTATATGTCTTGGTTAAGCTTTCCAATATGTCTGTCTTCTGAGAAAGAATCCTATGCTACATTAAAAGGTAGCTTTAGCTAGGCAAAAATATTAAGGAAGTACCTTAAGTAACGTCCCTCTCCCCAGAGATGCCTTGGTAGCAGTCAGTAACGCAATCAGATATCTAGGGTTATTTCAAACGCCTGCCAAAACATCACTCACGTCTATTAAAGCATCCTGAAAAACACCATTACATCAATTCCAGCAATGGCATAATTACTCTTCTTTCTGGAATGTCTTCTGCTGTGAGTCACCGTGCGGAGCGGGATTTCTGTGGAAAGCGGCTTCAGGAATTCCTTGGAGGAGGGAGAGCYGGGCTGAGCGCCCGGCAGCCTCCAGGGACGGCCACGGCCAAGCCGGGGACGGTGCCACCATCCACRGCCTAGCAAGACCCTTCTGTCCCCAAGACACAGAGCCCACGCAGGGGCTTCCTCATCCCTAGCATCCCTCCAACTTTGCTCAATAACTTGGGTTTCCAAGCTCCCTGGAATTACAAGGTGTAGCTATGACAGCCCAACTTCTTTATAAATCAACTCATCTATGCACCATCTGTCATTTAGGCTGTGGTTATCTAAGGGTTTTCACATAGATAATCTACACCACATCTTCCCACTCCACAATAATATGACTGCAACTAGGATTGTATTTTTTGTATCATTAGGAACTGTTGGATCTTTATGGTCTTCTACTTTAAGTGTCAACAARGACACAGGAAATCTATGGGAGAAATTCTGGGTTTGATTACAGTATAAACCCAAAGTAGCTTTTTTTTATGTGACTGGATCATCTAGCTCAACAGAGGAGAATTTGGTCCTCTGCCTTCTCCTTTAATCTTGCAAAAACAAGTTTAACTTGTTGAAATTATGCTTCTCTACAGGGATGATAATAGTGGCTGGAATAATGCAGTATTAACTTTATGTTTTAGAAAAATAAAGAGCATTTGAAATTACCTCTCAAAAAGCAGAACTCCAAAATCATCCTAACCTAAACTACATTTAGTTGATTTCCTAAGGAATGGACTCATGCCATTGCTTAAAATACACACACACACACACATATATATAAAGAGAGAAAGGGAGTTTTGCTTTATGAACACTCRTATCCTTTCTAAGCAGTTTCATGAAGCTGTAGCAATGTTGACAGACTTCTGATAAGTCTTGGCTTCACTGAAATCAGTCAAACTCCCAGCAACTTCAAAATTTATGTTCTTCTTGAAGCTATGTTCTTCTYGGTAAATATCAACAGAGTTCACATTGATGATAAAATAAACCATTTACACAGCTATCAGATAGCTCCTAATGTCACAATCTAAATGACAATATGGGAAAGGCTCTTGAAACAAAACCTTAGAGCATTCTTATACACGGAGGAAAAGAATGATAACTGAATGCTGGATAGGCATTTGCACCACTCTGCTAGACASGAGGACATTCTTCTTTGAGTGTCATGAGGAGGCCTGCATGATKTTGTCAGGAAAAAAAAAGGGAAAAAAAAAGTATTTCTAATATTTCACTTCTAGCTTCAAGGAAATTTTTTTTATCAAATGAAGAAGAGAATTGTAAAAACAAAATGGTGTTTTTATTGCCATGTTATTATTAACTAGATTTTTTAGCAAAATAGTCAAGCTGGAACATCACCAAGCTGCACGTGAGGMGACTACAGTGTTGCACAGAGAATAAGTAAATGCGATCTGGAGGCCCCCTCTGCTCCTGCAGAGAAGACCCTATTAAGTAATAGATAGTATTTTAGGGACCTTATCATATGGAGAGTGCCATCGTCCTTCCCAAGTTTCCATGCTGCCCTAAACTCTGTATCCCAGAAATCCACAACGAGTCACATTACAGGATCTTGAGTCTGGAAGTCTGAAGTAACTCCTTTGGCTCCCATATTCATTTTGTCATTTCTACCCTCAGCAGAAGTGCTCCAACAGGAAAGCTCTAGCAAACATCACAACATATGGTCAGAGCTGAGAGGATAAATCCCTTAGTACTCTGTCCCATCTTTAGGAAACAAAATGTCCCTACAAAGGAGCTGACTGAACAAAACCTTCTCCCAATGAAGTTCAATTGTCATCCGCTTACAAGAAAAAAAAAATCATGAACAGGCCATCAATAGGTCCTGCTTTGGCCTGTTCATTACAATAAAACCATGAGAGACATGAATATTATTAGATCCATTTTATCAACGGAAAAAAATAATGGAGGCAGAGAGGAGTACACTTTTCTGCAGTATATTTTCAGGCACTTAGTATTTATCACAATTTAATCTATTTTAGGTTTGCTTTTGCTTGATCGTTTATTGTAAAMTCAGATAGATACTTCAAACAAAGTCAGGGCAGGAGATGAGTCAATATCCTGCAGCAACAAATATTTAGAGACAACAGATTTGTAATAATTAGATGGAGACAAGAGATGATGAATTGGTAAATCTGAAAGTCTTTACAAACTCTGAAAATCTCAGATGATCGTTTAATCCTTCAACTATCTTCTTAAGAAACACAATCATGGAAACTCCGGGAAAAAAAAAAAAAAAAAAAAAAGCCTTACTGTAATCCTACCTTGATCTCATCCACAAATATGCATTTTCTGTATAAAGACATGATCCTTCTTATAAGCTCAGTATTTGTAGTTGGCTACCAAACCCCCAAAATGCCTTCCCAGCAATCCACACTTTTTACCTTCATTTTTTTACAATCTACAGATACCTCTATGGGAAAAAAAGGGGCAAATATGCTACTTCTAAATGGCATACATATGTTTCTTCATGTACCATCTTCCACTTAGGTTTCTCACAGGTTACACGCAGCTTAGATTGGCTTTTAGCTGAACATATAGTGAACTTATTAAAGATGAAGTGAACAGGCATTTCCCCATAGCACTACCTCACACATGGGACAGCTTAATGGCTTTGCGATTAATATATGCATAAGTACAACCTGCATTACCGGTGGTAAAAGGCAAGTTGGCCACTTGATCACACATAATTAAACAATCCCAAAGTTCTTGTGTTCAGTGCAAGCACGGGATATACCTGTTCCACAGTAGTAAATGGTGTGAGCTTATACATAGCTTCTTCCAAACACATCTAAGCTTACTCTGAAAAGATGGAAAGCACCTGGTCACATCTCTCCTCGTGCTGAGCAGCGACTTTAAAACAACAGTGCACCAAATCTGACTATCAACAATAGACTTGGTCCAGGAGCTATCTGAAAATGAAACAAAAAAAGAGCATGGATATCTTATCTGAAGCCATAACCGACAGCTGCTGCAAGATGAAAATGGGGCCCCTGAAAGGGAAATCTGAGCAACTATTGCTTTATGGAAATTGAGGCGACATCCTTACACTAGGGGAAAAAAAAAAGGCATTTAGGAAAATGGGGAGTGGGTAGGGTTCTCTTAAGTAGAGCCTTTAAATAAATTCTAACTCTGCAGTTGAAAATGTTTAAGCCTGTAAAACTAGACGGAGCTGAGGAAAGGGGTGAACCCATATATATGAAGACAGCAGATATAGAGCCATCTTACACAGTTCAGTAGGCAAGCTAACATGAACTTAATAGTGACAATTGTTTTAAATTGATTCAAATAACAAATACACATTTCAGAGATTATGAAGTTTTGCACTGCATTTTTCTTTTTATCTTTAAAAGAAAACAATGCTAATAGTTTCCTTTTTCCTACGCTCAATGACTATTTACTACTTTCTTGATGTGGACTTTCAAAATACAAAGAAGGTTTGGCAAGTTTTCAAAGTCTTTCTTCAAAGTCAGCTCTTAAGTACTTTTTATAAAAACATGAATACTTCTTACTAAGGCGAATTGATAATGTACTGCTTTCGTTATTTGTATATGAAATACTGTCAGATAAATGCACATGGATTCATTTGTTTGGACCTTCTCTGTTAACCTTATGTATGAAATTGATTTGAGGGAAAGGAATTGATCATAAGAGTCAGTAACAGAACAATTGCTTTCAAGCAAAAGCAGCTCCAGACATTATAGACCCAAATTTCAAAGAAAAAAGTTACTGTACTTGCAAGTTTAGAGTCAAACTTGGCAGCTCTTCCACACAGAGTGGTCAGAAGAAAAAAAAATAAAAATAAACATTCTTCCAAGATTTTTTTCAATTGCTGTACAAAATAATGCTACAAGTATGTCACAACCCTTTCAGAAAGTTATTCATGGAACCATAAGCACAGTGTCTTAAATACTTTGTTACTAGATAGTTAACACTTGTATAGCATTTTGAGAATTTAAAGAACTTTGTAAAGCTGTCATTTTTTTCTGCTATGTAGAGTTAAACTTAAAAATGACTGTGAATCAAGGCAGCATACTCTGCATAACCAGCCTCAGTAGTTGGATCATTTGTAGACAATCACATAGATCTGTTTATTTCAGCTGTGGGCCAAACGCAGAGGTGATTTGTAAGGTGGTGCAAATTAAATTGTGTAAGTAGGTGCAAGTAGATGTGAGTGAGTGTGAGMGTCTATGCTGGTGGTGCTTACATGCCGAGGGGCCTGCAAAAGGTACCACTTAAAGCTGGGAGGGGGAGAACAACTTTTAAGGCCATGGACATACCCTCTTGCAGACCGAGTTGCGTCAGCCTGAAACGGCAGCTCTCTTGAGGTTGAGCCTCTTCAGGTTGCCTCTCCCATAAGCCTAGCAGAAGGGGGTGCGTGTGAACGTCCCCTAGCTCTGCTCCGAAATACCCACCAATCGCTTTAGTTCAAATGCTGCTACTCAGCAGGCTAAAGTAACACAGGTTACTTTGTTGGAAGTGGATAATGAGCACTTATGCAACCTCTTACATCTGCAGAGCGCGGAGGACAGCAGACAGTGGGTGACAGGCAGTGCCATTTTCAGCTGACACTGTAGGTTTCCAAAGGAGCCTGTCTATGTCTTTACCTCAGTTGTGGGTCTTTTCTGGATAATCTCAAGAAATTACATTGTGGCCTTCATTTATCTCTGTATTCCTTAATGCCCCTGTTCATTCAATTTCCTGTCTCCTGTGCTGACACCTCTTTGTTCATCTCCCATCTTTTCTCCGTCTTGTCTATTTAGACTGTAAATTGTTTGATAAAGGGACCATGACTTAATAGGTGTTTGCACTACATCTGGCACCATTTGGTCTTAATCTCAGCTGGGACATGAAGTCTCTACTATTAAACGAATAATTAATAATGATTAGGTCCTAAAGCAGCAATGCTGCCAGCATGTGAAACTCCACTAACTCACTGCTCCTATCACTCTTCTCTTTCCACTAATGCCTGCTAGTTTCAGTTAACCCAGGAAGCCAGGGATTACTTCAGAGCCACTTCTACTGAGGGGCAAGAGACACTCCTCTTCAGCAGGCCACTTACTTTCCCTCWTTTTTAGAAAAGTTAAACCAGAAATCAAGCTAAATATGAGTGTGAAGTCATACAAAAAAACTTATAATGTATTCTTGAAACAGAACTATGTTATGCATAATATAAACAGCTATATGTAAGGCAGATCACTGTTCTGTTTCAGGAAGTAATAGCTAAAGAAGCATTTATTTATTTCTGACAATTAATGGACATAAAAGCCTATGTATTATCTAAAGAGGAGAAGATTAAAGGAGGGAAGTAGCTTACACTATTGGATTGGCTGCACCAAAACAAATAACCTCACAACTTCATTTYGTACGGAGCCTTCCATAAAGTCTGGATAATAAAATACTTTACAGAGAGCAGAGAAGGAGGGAGGAAGCAAAAAGCAGAACAGATATGTTTTCAGCTGAGATTGGATATGAAGCAGTAAAGCTGTGCCAAGCAGCAGGCTCTCACACCAGCAAAGGCAGGAACCCAGGAGAAGCCAGGGAAAGGGCTGGGGTTAGGCAGAGCAGGGGAAAAAAAGGAGAGGGGGGAGAAATAAAAAGATGAGGAGTCAAATTCTTCTCTTGGTTCCACCAACGCAACCCCACTGACATCAATGGGTGTAACTGAGATCAGAGCCAACCTAACGTAGCCTGACAGAAATACAGAGAGAGTTTGAAAACAAACAGGACGGTTCTGATCAGTAAACCAGGATGAATGGGGAGCTTGTGGGGGAGCTGTTGGCCAGGCTGTCACAGCTCGCCAAAAGCCAGCCCCTCCCAGGACACAAGCACTCGGCTCCATCCGAAAAGCCCCGCTGGCAAAGGTCRGTCCCCACGAGCCACAGAGCTGCTGGCACATGCAGTCGGTGCCTTCATTCACTGAACTCCGTTCGCTCCCTGCTACAGTCAGTGCACGAGTCCGTCAGCATTAAACAGGATACGGGTCCGAAGGCTCCCTCAGAGTGTGTGGCGGGTGCATGCGGTTGGTGACACTGATAGCAAACCTGCTGGCACCCCTTCCCGTGCCAGGACCCCTTCTGCCTCTGTGACAGCCCTCACTGCCTCTGCACTGGCAAGGAGACATCTCCTCCATTGAAGGCACAAGGCCGACACCTAAAACACTGCCCAGCCACAACAATTCCTCCATCCCACAGCAGCAGCTCTGTGCACTGCATGTCCATCAAGGTTGGCGTGAGCAGGTCGCTGGGCTGAGAATAAGAGAATAATCAGTCCCGAGGAACATAAACACAGCTCTAGGACAAGGGAACAATAACAACTGTGCCTTGAAGAACTAATTCTCACCCCGCAGTGTGACCACRCATCCCACATTTGCTCTGGTCTCCGTCCCGCAACTCTAGGGCTGCCCAGTGGCAAATCCACTCACTGCCAACTGCTTGACTGCAACTAACAAGAAAACCTTGGAGAAAGGATCCAGGCTCTCTGCAGGGCTCCTGGACCACCAAACGTCAGCACCCTCCACCGGGAAGATAAGGGGCAAAAAAAAATCCCRGATCTCCTGGCACAGGGACTGGGCACAGGGCTGTCTCCTACAACTTGGTAAGTACTGCAGGAAAAGGCCCTGCAACAGAAACTGGCTGCACAGACTACTCTGTGCGGCAAAAAGACAAATCATAGGGAGCAAACGGAGAACGGAGAGAGGAGATGTTATCTGCCAAATTACAGAACCACTGTGATTATTTCTGGATTCTGAACACCAGCTCTGACTGCCATAAAATGTAAAAGACCARATTCAATAAAAAATTATTTCCAGCTTCCCCAGCACTGAAATCCATGCAAGACTTAAAATAAAACTCTCTTTCTCCAGGCTTGYGCTGTCTTGTGCCGACTTCAGTGGCGTGCGAAGTAGACACATTTTTATAGAATCTCACCCTAGATTACTTTCAAAAGTAGTTTTTCACAACATATTTGTTTGGTAGATTTTGCTGTCTCTTCCTCTTTTTCTATTTTCAGACCGCTTTGCGTGGTGGGAAATGGATACATAAATGTAGATCTTTTTACAGTTACTCAACATTTAAATATTGATCCACTAAAAAAATGCTTCAGYGTGTGTGTGGGACACACACATATTCCTTAGTTTTCCCGTCCTTGCTAGAAAAAATGTCCAAATAGTCATTTTGAGAAGTTGCGCTGAGCACACAGACAGCTGTTCCTCATACATACTGCAAATGTTTCTTTTAAATTCCTAAGGACGCAAGAGTTTGATACGAAGCCAGTACCTCTAGAAATGGAGAAAACTAAACACACCCCATACTGATGCTTTTACTGTCCCAACAAACTTTCTCCCACAACTAAAATGTTAAAACTTTTACCCCACATCCCACATYGTGAGATTAGTCCAATAACTAATGCTCTGTCCAAGTAAAATACATTTTGTCATTGCTTGAAAATGTTACCTTTCACAGAAGTATAGTATTTCTGACCAGCAGGGAACATATGTCAACATTATCTATTATTACACAATGTCAGGACCAGAAAGGGAAGGTGGGTGGTGGATGTTAATAACAACTTAAGCGATTTTCTAAAAGAGGCATTTGAGAAGTACAAAGCCAGAAGTTTTAAATGTTTTGTCTGATTGTAGCTGTGTCAGCAACCTGCCCCCACCACTGTGCAAACCTAATTCTGACTGTGACCCAGTGCCTAGTTCTCTTTTCAATTTGAGCCAACGCGTTGCTAAACTGGAAAGTTTGAAAAATACCTTAGAAAACTTCTCCACCAAAAGGAAAGAGGAAAAAAAAAGAAGAAAAACAAAAACTTATGATCAGAAATGGTCAAAGTGTTAAGGCTGTGATCCTAAGGCACAGATTTTTCTCTTCCATTTCTTTTTAACACTATATTAACCCGGGGTTTTTTTGTGCACTGCTAAGAACAACGATACTTGTCTGTAGTGTGCCTTAAGAACTTAAAATATTTTTTTTTTTTTTGATTGTAGAAAGGCATGGCCCCACGCTGTCAGCTGTTACAGGAATTATCTAGTTGTTCAATCACTGACCTAGGAATTTGGAAACGCAGTTTCAGTTCCATGTCCTGCCACCGATGTCTTGCGTGCCACCAGTYGTGTCACTTAGTCCTCCTGCGCCTCAGCCCCCTGCTCCCTGGCCAGGAGCCTCTCCCTACCTCTTGGAGGTGTTTTATGGTTGCATATGTTGAGGACGGATATAATTACAGCCAAAGGACCTTTGAAATACCAAAGATAAACAGATAGCAAACTGCAGTGTTTACTTACCACACACATGCAAGATTTAACTTTGATAGGCAAATACATGGGGCTGAGGCAGCACGCGCAGCTCCTGGGAGCTGCTCCGAGAAAGCGTCTGGATCCTGAATCCCAGACCTTTTGGATGCTCTCTGGCACAGGTTAAACACCCCTACGTGCTAAGCAGGATGTGGGGCTATTTTGGTAGCTTTAAGGTGACCAGAAAAACATTCCTGGCATGAACCTTCATGTAAAAACCTAGCTATAGGAACGTTTGGGAGACTCCCACTTCCTCACCAGAAACCCTGCACGCAGAAATTAAAACCGGCAAAAGCTCATGCTGAATAAATCAAAGGGAGCCGCACTGCACAGCCATGCTGTAAGCAGACACACTTCCAGTAATATAGCTATTACTGAAAATAATACACTGAAATTAGTGTCCTCAGCGTCTCCCCTCCATATTCTGGTGCTAAATCAGGGGAAAATAAAGGTTTGTGGCACTTACTCTGCAGAAAGCAGTGACACTGGAACAGCTTTCCCCAAGCACAGGGGCAGTCGAGGGCCAAAGCAGGCCAGGGTCAGGCATGCAGGTCCGTGTGTACTGCAAGGGGAAGAAAAAAGGGGCATTTTCCTTAAAACRATTGCTACAAACAAGGTGCTCTGGATACAGGTATTTCTTAAGCAGACTACTGTGCCTATGAACCTCAACCTTTATGGAAAAAAAAAAAGAAAGAAAGAAAGAAATAAAGCATACCACAAGCAATCTCTAATCTTTATAACATCATCCAGGGGCCATTCTCCACACTGGTCCTTGTCACTGCCAGGATGGAGGGAGTTGCAGGCTGGGCATCCCCACACAAGGCAGACCCTTCAGCTGCAGATGTTGGTGCAGGCACTAGGCCCCAAACCCCCACACAGCAGTTGCTCAAAATGGCCCCTACCTCCCTCACAGCAGAAAATGGCGCCTGCCTCCYTTGCACACCTGGGGGCTGCATAAAATGGCGCCTGCTGCCCTCGCGGCACAAAATGGCGCCCTCTTCCTTCTTGGCCCAGTGACGTATGGCAGCTTTGCTATGAATCCCGGTTTTCCATAAAGCCTTGGAAAACACACACACTTTTTCTCACATGTAGAAAACAAAAAGAAAAATTTCTTTTCCACCACAGAGGTGGTCATGTCAAAGTTGCCGGGCACAAAATATTTTCTTTTTTTTTTTTTTTCCTTTTCATATCTGTTTACAAAATCCATGTAATTTCTTTGTAGTTTGTTCTTTCCCCAAAAGCAAATCCTTCAGGGTATTTATTCCCCTCAAAATACAAATTATTCTGTTCCCCGGTAATTATCTGTTTTGCATACAGTTACACAGCTGAATCAGAAGCAGCAAGATATGAATAAATATATAAATAATGGACACACCGAGGTGTAGTTTCTCATGTTTAACATAACACAGGGGAATACATTTTTATAGCAAGCCTGTAAATGTTGTAAACTGATGTTTTCAATTCCAGTGACTTAGAATTAACTTCTAACTGTGAGATCTAAACTAGCTGCAGTCTTTTATAATCTCCTGCTTTAAAACTGTAATGATTTTTTTTTTCATCTGCTGTTAAAGAAGAAATTATATTTTACTAGGAGACGGTAAAGGTAAACCACAGGAAAAAAAATGCTTCAAATTGCTTAAATATGATTATTTTTGTTCTGGGTTATTTCAGTGGGGTGTGTTAAGGAGGGAGCCAAGAGAGGATAAGGGAAGGAAGTGCCTTAAAGCATAAGAGTATATGTTGTTTGCTGACCCTTATTGAGCTTACATGAAAAAAAGTATAAGAAAAATAAAGAATATACCCAAAATGTAGTGAAAAGCAGCTCTGCTGCTCAGTCCTGCAGAATGCTTGACGCTGTGGCTGCTCACACTGGTCCTCCAGGTAAAAACAATAATGATAGTAATGATAATAATAGCGATTCCTGAGATCCCTGCGATCTGGGGCCCAGGAAGGGGTTGAAATACAAACAGCAGCCTGCAGGACAGGAGCCGATTCCTTGTGGAATGAGGTTCCATGCTGTGAATTTTGGGCTGAACCTGGACCTCGAGTTTAAATCCAAGGTTTTGGTTTTGGCCCTGTCATGAGTAAAAAAAAAAGGATAAAAGGAGATGAGCAGATAATTGCAGGAACTTAGAAGCCAGCGAAGCATTCTTTTAAAATTACAAATTAAGCTAAAAGTGATTCCAAACTATGCTGTTTTTATTAAAAAAATGACTTAATAATCTAATCTTCTTTTCCTTGCTTTTATTTTGGAATTTATCCTATATCCTAGTAATCGCACATAGAAATTACACAATACTAYGCTGGATCCTCCTGACAATATAAACACAATTGTTTATCCAGAAGCATTATAGGTTCATGCAAAAATATGGCATTTAAAGCTTGTGGTCAGATCAAGAAACCACAAGTATAATTGTTTGTTTATCCAGCCAAGCATTACTCTTGTAGTGTAAGTTTATGGGGGGKTTGCATTTATTTATTTATTTCCCAATCACTCCAAATTAAAGTTATAGAGTGAAAATAAATGATTAAAGGCAAACAACTTAAGTCCGGGCGGGCGGACGGCCGTTTTAATATGTAAATCGCTGCTTTTGTCGGCGCGCGTGTGCCTGGGTTTTTCATGCTCCCATAGAAGCTCCATGATAACAGGGCCCTTTGGTGGAATTTCTACATATTTTCTCTGTAGTGTGGGGCAGCTGGTTTCTTTCCTCTCGGAGGAGAAAAGCTGAAGTATATTTATCACTCCAGCAGTGACTCAAAACAAACAGGAAGTCTTCATCAGCAGACTCCTGGGCAAGGCAGATACTAAGGTACTGGCAGAAAGGAAACAGAGGCCGTCGTCTGTGGGAGTCAGACACGCAGCGCATATTGCAGCTACAGCAGATAAATAGATTAGGGATCCACCAAATTATTTTTAAAGCCAAAATTAAAAAAAAAAATAAAATAAAATCCCAGGATACTCCCAGGAGCGAGTTGCTCCCTGTGGAGTTTCCCGTCCCAGCAAATGTCTCCTCCTTGCACAGAGCACTGGACACTGCAAGAACCGAGGAGCAGGAGGAAACCTGCACACAGACTATTCTGAGCCATTTCGCTTTGATCCGGCTGCCTTCTGAAAATCGCTGCTTTCACCCCAGCAATTCCTTCTCTTAAAGCAGGGGTTTCTGGGAGGGCCGGCCTTCTTGTGACTAGAAGGGAGGAAAATAAAAAAGAAATGAGAACAAAACATAGTTCATGTTTTTAACCGTTAAAGTGATMATTAACATTCACAGCCAGTTTTTAGGAAGCCCTCTGGAAGTAGATGGATGAGTGTCCTAGCAGCAAATGCCTCCTCCTGTGTCGGATAGGGACTGGTCTCACACAGCAACTACTCGGTTGGTTTTTTTCCACCAATATGTAAGCAGTAAACTAAAACATTTCAGTCCATAATAAATAAATAAATAAATAAATAAATAAATAAATAAATAAATAAATAAATAAATAAATAAATAGGAGGGGAAGAAGAAAAGAACAGGAGGGGGCGAAACAGACCCTCCACCCAGATGACCTGGGGCAGATCCGGTGGGAGACAAGGGAGCTGTAAGCTCCCGTGAGCTCCCTGCGTTGTCCTCCCTGCAGCAGCACAGCTGCCGCGCTTCCTGCAAACAACCCCTCTTCCCATAAAATAAATAGCACAGAGGACCCATTCTGGTCCTGGCATCTCTGCTCTCCGCTGCGGAGACTGCTTGGAGACTTACGTATCTACCTTTAAAAAGGGATAATGGGGTCAGGAAGAGCGCAGAAGTGCCGGCTGGGCCTGAAACACGAGCAGCGCCGTTTGGGTTGTGCTTGGTGGTTTGTCAGATAAAAGAAAGTGTGTTTTGGGGCTGTTTGCTGCAGTGGGAACTGCCTTGGTGTCAGGGTATGACCCAACCTGTGACTGGGTCACCAACCATCAAGCTAAGGGCAAAGGAAGCTTCTAACTGTTCTGGCTGGGACAAGTAAGGTAGAAGGGCGAGGAGCAGAATGAGGAGGAAAAGAAGAGTATTAAGTTAGCTGAAAAAAAAAAATCCAACAATATACCTTGATTAACATCCAATTCAAGCCTGGATTTCTTTCATTTTGCACCCACCTTAAATGAAAACACATGCTCAGGGATCTCCTTAGCTCCCAGTCCATTTTTGGTGCTTAAAGGAGAATTCTGCACCTTAAACTTAATGAATGTCTTTCTACTACAGATAGCTGCAGTGCTGAAAGCCATGTTCTTTTGAGCCAGCCATATRTCTCAGTCTAGGATGGGTCTGGAAGTCCTACAGCATTTTCATATGCCCAGGCTGGACTTGACTTGAACTGCTTCCTGACAATCCTCCGAAGAAGCAGACCTCATGTCCTTATCACTTAACTGCACCCTGTGAAAACTAACCTCAATGTCTCACCACAGAAATCCAGCTCTCTATTAATAAGAATGACTTTTTAGCTGCATACCTAAGGTGCATGAAGCTGATAGAGGGAACATCAGAAATTCATGTGGGATAGTGTTCCCAGATGCAAACATCAGCCAACTATCTAAACAACAGYGTGAAGTCACCGTAACCTGAGACAGGCCAGTCTGAATAAGCATGAGCAGCGAAAGAAACAGTTGAAAACAGTGAGTTCTTCTTACTTGCTCATGTGAAATGTCAACAGGACTGCCTTTTGGAGAGGTCTGTGTCAGAGAGATGATTATCAAGACCTCTGGTCAGAAGAATCTGGCAAAAGTTGTCTCCAACACATTTGATTCTCAGGTGTGTCAAGACACAAAGCCAAACAGGGAGGATGATTCTATTGAATCTCCCATTAGAAGTCAGATGCTGTGTCCTCTCAAGGAAAGGTCCACTCTAGTCAAATACATAAGCTATAATAGAACATGAAATGAACTACATACCAATGTACCTAGGCATCCTGCTTCTGGGGGACATGAAATAGCACAAGACTTTCTCCTTCCCTGCAGGAGGTTTGTGCTGAGAAACAACTCAGGTCTGCTAGGAGCTCTCTAAGCCACAGAGATGGTAGCTCCTCACAAACTCCTTCACTAGGCTCACACCCTTCATTCCCTTTTTTTGTCTCAGTCATAGAGACAACCCTGCTTCCTGTTCGGGTCATCAGGTTTTTTTCCCCTCTAAAATGAGAGAATGCTATCTCTTCTTGGAGAGAGAGTTGATGCCTTTTGAGAGCACATTTTATAGGCATAGGAGCCTCTACAGACTGGGGAAGGAAATCCCTTAATGATATAATGGATATTTGAAATGGGATGAGACAGGATGCTACCTTGAACTGTTATTGTTGGACTCTATGAGGTCTCTGCCGACTATTCCTCCTGCTCCTCCTCCTCCTACCTTAACATTCGGGTCATTAATGAAGACATTAAGCAGTATCATCCTYGCTATCAATGCCCAGCTGGCCATAAAGCCACTGACTCCTACTTCTTCCCCMTTACAGGATGGGCAGACTCTCTGCTGTGACTGCACCTCACTCCAACATGAGACATTTTCAGTAGATACAGTCAAGTTTAACAAGTTCCGTGCGTATTTACTGCTTATGTCAAACCTATGAAGCCTTGTTTTGGAAGATGAGTCCTTGTTTAGAAGTTGAATTCTTTGGCTGCTCACTTAAAAGCAGCTCCAGTAACACACTCCATTTTATATTTCACTGGAAAAACCTCTTGAAGTCCGAGACAATTCCRATAAGTGCAGCTCTCAAGATTTGCAATCATGGGAAGCAAGTGGCGGACCTTAGAATAGGGCAAATATCTGTAACTCCTATTTA